AGGATTCTGTCCCTAAAGCCCTCTCCAGCGCTGGGGTCTCTCAGCTGCTGCCACAGCACCACTGCAGCTGTTTGGCTCACACAAATGAGGCTTCTGGAGAAAGAGAAAACCTCTCCCTCGGGAGCAGAAAGCAAAGCTGGGCAGAAAGTGAGCATCATTATTAATTTACAATTATTTCGTAACCTATCCCTGAAATGCCAAACCTGTTTAAAGGCCTCTTCCTTTCCATCCATATTGGGCATTAGCTGCAGTCAAAACATCTAAAATTGGATGACACATTGAAACATTCTCATTTCCCGTAGCATTTTGAGGCTGTAACTGTGTCAATTACATTCTCTAACACTAAAATTATGCAGAAAGTTAATGTTGATGTAACTTTAAAGAAGAAATTTCTGCCATAAATGACACGAACAGATCCCTACACCCTGCAAATATTTACACACAGGTGTAAATCTCCTCTTCAAAGCCCTCCTACAGCTGTCAACAGAAACATCAAGGAGAATATTACTCTTGATGAAGCATTTATCCCTGCATATAATACAGAAATACACCCAACAGAAAAAGTTCAGCCTTTTTATGGAACTTAGCAGATAATTCCTCAGAGCACCATCTGCAGTGCAAAGAACTATTTTCCTATTTAATTTCAAATTCACCTTTTAACTGCATGAACCTAATGGTTTCCAATTTTTCCTTTGTACACAATATGAGCAAAAAGACACTGTGGAATGTTTCTCTCTTATCTGGATATTGTCATTTTACTGTCTCAAACTTCTAAAAACAAGCTTTTGGCTGGGGAGGAAATCAGTCAGCATCAGACCTAGTGGGGAAACCCTGCACTTGCTCAATGTCTGTAGCTCTTACATAGTTCCAGATGTTCAGAACATTAATAATGCACTAACTCAAAACCTCTTTTTGAAACTTTAGAATGTGCAAATTGCATTAAAACCTCTTTGCCCTCATTAATGGTATTGTTACAATCCCAGTACTCTGGAAAATGTTTTTTGGCATTTGTTTAACTTTGTGATATTGCCATTTACCCATTTTAACAGCCAGTGCTCAAATCTTAATGCTTTTAATAGGCTGGGCTAAACAGACTACCATCCTTTGGAAATTTATTGAAGTAATTTATTAAATAAGTAAAAGTTGTCTGAAAGCAGCATTGTTTGTTTTATTGATGGCAGAAAAAATGGGTTTCTTATCATTTATTTACAAGCCCATGTTTCAGGAAAGTTTTAGAAATGAAAATATTGTCTTTTCAGAGTTCTATTCATTGTCTGTTACTGAAACACTTGTTAAAAGCAAGAATTTTTACCAGTCTCATGTATCTCAATAAGAAAAGGCTCTGTCTGAAATGAAGAAGAGCCAGACATTGAGAATTAATAATGAAATGATATCCCTCCCTCAGCCTGTCATACCTGAGGGTGCCACATTTACATCAGGCCAGGGTTTCAATCCACGTGGACATGGCCAGAGGTTAAACTGAGGCCCCTCCTGTTGATTCCAAATAATTCCCCTGAACCTGAAGATTCTCAGTCTGTTGAAACCAGCTCCACACTGCTCAGAGTTAATTAATATTGTTAATTCCTGCCTGTCTGGAGCTGTGGGAGGGTGCCAAGAGCGGTTTGTCAGCACAAGGGCAAACACCTGCCTGAGACTTCTCTGCAGGTTTGGTGGATACCTGACACAGGGAGAGGGAGCCAAGCAACAGAGAGGAGTTCCAGCCCAAAGGGATTTGCTGTCACCCAATCCTGGCTGTTCCCACTCCAGAAAACATCATCAGCCCCAGAGAGCAGGAAAATGGGATGAGACTGACAGAGCTTGAACTCTGAACTAGCAGCTCCTGAAGTTATGAGACAGATAAAAACCCAGCTGTGAAATTTAGCATTTATTTTTGCAAGTGGCAAAAGTTGCTGGGTGTCATCACTATAACCTTACCTCAAAATTCTCAAGGAAAACAGCCAGTGCAATGCAGCATTAATCATCAATATGCTAACTTACGCTAATTGTGCCATTATTCCATGAGCATGAAACAGTTTGGGTTGCAAGGAATATTTAAATGGGATCCAGTCCAACCTCCCTGCAACAAGCTCAAATTTTCAAGCAGAGAATTCTTATCAGTTCTTAAGTTTTCCTGTTGAAAACACTCATTCAAACCCTCTTCTGCTACAACTGTAAAAATTTTGCTTCCAAGTGATGACTCCTCAATTAGCAGATCCAAATTAATCAACTATGCCTCAGAGAACAAACCAAACCAAACCAACATTAACATCATTGTCCAAAGCTTGTTTTGTTAAAAAAAAAAAAAGCTACTAAGAAAGGTCAGTTAATTCATCATGATGGATTATCACCAAAATTTATAAGCATTAGCATTTTTCTCCTTGCTGGAGAGTCTGACTTTGATATGACACATATTGAATGAATCATCCAAGATGATGCAAGATATATCTTAATGCAGACAGGTTGGCAACATGAGCCCTAATGGGCCTTATCTTAATCTTGTTTAAAAGCATCTTAGATTTCTGAGCAATCTTTTCACCTTCTGATATTCTCTTTTATAGAGTGTTTTTTGCTGGAGTTGCTACTGATTTTCACATAAATGCATTTTTGTTGCATAGTATCACCGGTTTTAGGAGCCTTAAAAATGATGGAGGTTTGGAATTTAGTGAATGTTAAGATCAAACCGATTTTTAAAAAAGACAATGTGCCACAACTCCAACAATGACACTAAAAATTTCCATGTTGTTTGTGAATTATCCCACATGAACTGTCACAGCTGTTCATAACAGACACCTATCAAATGTGGAGATGTACAGCTGATGGGTTGTTTGCCCATACATATATTTTCCTCCACTTCATTAACTCCATATATTTGCCATACATATGTCTTAAACAGTCACTCTAATTAAAAATGTATTTATTCAAATACCTGATTAAGATAAAGGGAAATTTCTTTACTATTGCTTTTTTCCCCATTCACATTTCAGGTAGTAATTCCAAACTGAAATCCAATGTACATACCAAACTAAATTGCAGCTCCATTATCTATTACCTGGATAGAAAGTACTTAAAATTCAGAACACTGTCTTCAACCTTCCAGATAAAAGAAATAAGTTTTTTTCCAGAAAAAAACCCTTTATTTGTCACTTATTCCAAAGTTGAAACTTCAATTCATAAAACAGATTGAGCCATCAAAAAAATCTGCTTAACTCATAATAGTGAGGTCCGTGAACATGTGTATTAATCAGATCTTGACAGCCTTAAAAAATTCCTTTGAAGGCTGCAGCTTTTTAAAGAGAGGCAGCAATTTCCTGTGAAAATCACTTTTGAAATGCAAATATTCTGTATGATGATGAAAGAACAATACCTTGTTTTCCCTGTACGAATACTGCTTACATTATTCTGTATTTTCAACATATTAATCTCGGACATAAAGGCAACCCAATCCCAAATAAAAGGCATAAGAAGAAAAAGGGCATCCATAGAAAAATGTTGGCAATGTGATTTTAAAATATCACCCTTCAATTGTCTGCAATTTCTATTTATCAATACTTTGCTGGGCCCAGGGAGTGTTCCTACAAAGAACAGAACACTCAGCGTGTGCAGGGTGACCTTTCAGCAAGGCAGAAGGGCAGGGAGGGGGAAGGTTCCAGAGCTGGCCAGCAATTGTTTTCCTCCTTTATTAAATGTCATTACAAAGTCTCTCTGTAGTTGCAATTCACATTACTATTCTCATAAAAAATTTCATAAATATTTGTCAGGTCTGGATATGGAAGATCAATTCTCCAACATGACACACTTGGAAAGATAATGCTGGAAACTGAAAGATGCTCCAGTTAAATTCTTAAATTGGAGATTTCTTGCCAGATCATTTCCTTTCCATGGAAGTGCAAAGTTTTGTGAGATTAAGTAAATTTATGGTCAGTAATCTGCTTTTTTCAGGGGCTTATATTATCTGGTCCGATGTGGTCACCTAATGGTTACTGTCAGGAATTGCACTGTGGCTCCAATTCCTAAAGACATCCAGGCAAGAAACAAACCTCCCTTTGCAGCCTGACAGTTAAATAATAAATGATGAAGGGTTAGTAAAAAACCCTTTTTACTTAGTTTTGTAAAATATTCTCCATTTAGGAACCTTAAGGATGAGGGGAAAGGTCTGAAATTCTATTTCTAGCATGTTGGGGTTTTAAATCATTTGGTAGGATTTTTTTTGAGATTTTTTTGAGAGGTTTCTGTGTTTTGTCTGTTCAGATGATTTTTAAAAATCATAAATAATTATTCAAAATTTAAAAAGTCACACTCTTGCAAGTAGTACAAGAAAAATGAGTTACAGAATTACCTTGCAGGTTTATATTCCTGTTCCTGACCATAAACAATAGTAAAAACAAACAGAGAAGAAAGCAGAACTACTGGGAGATCCAGATTAACCATAATTAGATAACTGTTGTCAGTGAAATCAGATATTACATAGTTTGAAATGGAGAAATTTGATTCTTTACAGCCAATGTCAGGGAGCAATTCCCCCGACTAAAGAAAAATACACTCCAATCTCCAATGCAGTGAAATGGAACAAGAAAGAAGGGAAGGAGAAATTAACTGGAGGAATTTTGCATTCTGATAGCACAGAAAGAGCATGCAAAGGCATTCTTGCTTCTGAGTTATACAGAAAGTATAATTTCATTATGTGATTTTTAATTTTTTTCTTAATAAACAATTTCTAAACCTTCAGGAAAACAACATCAGGAAAAATTATGGATCTGGCTGCTTTTATGGCAATGCTAATTGAAATTATTGTCTGTGCTAATAAGTACATCTGTTGAGAAAAACCGAATATGTTTGCTCAGGAAAACAAACCTGAATGACAAGAAATAATACAATCCTGCTGTGTTATTGCAATACAATCATTTGATAAACATTTCTGTATGTTGATGGATAAAGCAGATCACACTGTACATTTTCAAAGGTGTGTGAAAGGGAAAGGATGGGAATTCAGATTTCTTTACCTTATAGGATGGCAAAAAGCACAAAATTCCTTGGCCAATTGTCTGACAGACTGAAAGCAGCAGTGCTCCCACCTCATCCTGGAACTCGAAGGTCTCTGTGTGCTGGAACGTTGCGCACAACTTCCGCCCATTGGGGCCCGTTCCGACCGTGCCGACCCAAACCTGGCGTGTTCCACATGGAGAAAGTTAATTCTAAACCAGGCTGGATAAATCACATCAGGTCCAATAATGAAATTTTAAGAGTGAAAGATATATTGAGATATTTCTTAAATTCATTTCACCTGAAGTGCAGTAATTGATATGAGGTGGCTGTTACCAATATAGCACAAGCAAATTCTTCGGGGAAATCATCTAAAAATTGCCTCTTTATTCATTTGAAAACTGAATAAATTTGAGTTTTCCATTGCATTAAGCCAAGCAAGAGTCTGGACCTTTCTTTTAACTGACAGAATGGGCTTGCTATCACTTTTAATTGGTTTTTGTACCATGGACAACATTATTGCTCAGGAGAGGGAACAGCCATGCCCACTTTACCTGGGAATTCCGGATAACATGATTTGCCTCCAGCTGAATGGAAAACTTCACACCAAGCTCTGAGGAAAAGGAATCCATGGGAGAGAGTGTGCCTGATGTCAGAACAATTGTTCTAACTTCATTTAACTCAGAGAAAGCCTAGGTGGAAGAAAGAACAGCAGGAATTTAGAAAATCAACACAATCCCTTTCAAATCTGATGTGTATTTGTTATCACTCAGATTATTTTAGCCTTTCTTCAGTCAGCTCACCACAGCAGGGTTCAAGCACCAAAAATTTAGCATGTGGACAAGGGTTTTCTGCCTTGAACTCTTTTTGTGCTTGGGCCTCGTGAAGAAGGAACTTGAATCTGCATCATCACGTTGGTTTTCAGTCAACCAGGTGTAAGTCTGCTGTAGAGCAATCTTGTAATCATCTGCAAACCTACAGAGAGAGAGAAATATCAGTAAAAATTACAATTAAACAATCAAATTGTGAGCATTCAGCTCATAAATGTTAGGCCTGACCTGCTGTTCTCTTTAAAGAGACAGGAAAAGACCATGAACAGGCCTTTGAGCACGATCTGTGTTGCAGGGCTCACAACTGGCACCCCAATAAGTTCCTCTCTCCCATGCATTGACACTTTTTCTTCTTTTTCCAGGACAGCAACAAGATGTTTCTGCAAGAGGCAAATTCCATATTAACAACATTCTAGGTATCTTCTCCAAATCAAAGTTAATAGATACAAGACTGTAAGCTCACTGCTTTGAAAGTTAATTTAAAATACTCATAAAGTCAGAGGGAAAGGGGCAAAGAAGGGCCATAGGAAAGGGAACAATACCTTCAATTTTTAACAATGCTTTTAACATATCTGGCTTACACAGAAAGGAGGGATAAACTTGAAAATATTTCAGCACTCAATAAAAATGCATCTGGATAGAACAGGCAAAAATATCACTGGCTCAATGGTTCAATTAAAATAATTGTACGTGAGCAATTTTATCCCTCAAAACACTGATTCTCCACAAATTCCAGTAGCTCGAGTGGATTAGTCCTGGTTTTCATCGGGAATCATTTTCAGACAATTTTCAGTACTGCAGTAAATGAAAAGATCTGTTTGCATTTAACTTATGTGCATTTTAAGATTTTAACACCACCAATATTATACATGGTGGTGCTCATTTACACAGCACACAACATTACCTGTAAAATGGGAAAAGTAATCCCAGTTATTCCCATTTGGTGCAAAAAGTTGAGCATTTCTTTGCCACTCCACACTTTACAGGCAGTTTCATAGGCTCTCTCCACCAGCTGCCCAGAGCTTTCCTGCAACCAGCTGAAAGAGAGAAAGGCAGAAATCATTTCAGCATTGATTTTAGAGATTTAGAGACACTTTGCACGTACAAAGCAAACCTCAAAAATTGCAACAGACTTCTAAGATGATGATAAATGTTTTACTACATGTAAGGAGAGAGATTCTGCTTTTTCTTTATGCCTGTTTTTCTCTGTTGAACTCCTATGGAACTGCTTTAGATGCAGTTCATTGAAATGAGAAGAAAATTTCTCCCCACATATTTATATAACAGATAATAAAGAAAAGGAATTAAAATATAATTTCCTCTTATGAGATGTCAGGCTCATTCAAGCAAGACTTCTGCTGCATATCTAAAGCCACTCATCACCACTCCAGTTGCTGCAGGTTGGTTTATCATCCCTGTCAACTGCTGACTTTCCAATTAAAAACAAATCCTGAGGCATGAAATGAACACTTTTCATATCTGCACATGGAAGGGAAAGTGGGGCAACAGAAAACATTTAAACCTACCCACAGGTATTGGCAACTGCTACAGCTGAAGCAGAATTATAATTGTAATACAATGCAAAATGTGATTGACTGCTAAAAGCATGAGCTAAACATGGAGATCATCTCATTTGTGGCAGAGAGGAATTTTCTCTGAGTGAGCATGTCCTCCTTCATCCCTGCAGTACCACAAGACCTTGTCTCTGGCTAGAAAAGCAGGCAGCTCCTTCCCTCCCAGGAAAGGCTGCAGCTGTCTGCTCCATCAAAAGGCAGGAGGCATCAAAAAGACAGCTGTCAGTGCTGCAACAGCTCAAAATATTTACCTGCAAAGCCAGTTCATCATTATCAACTCAAGAGCAAGGCTCTGGGACTGTTTCAGTTCTAGATTTCCTGCCCTGTCACCACAAATAATCTGATCCATGGAATAATTAAAATATAACTTCCCTTCTGCCAGGTTAAATGCAAACAAAACACCACCAATACTGCCACAGCCATCACTTCCTTGGCTATAATTTGCTTTATCTCATTAAGGAATGCTGATCACTAACACAGGCAAAATTTGGCCCCAGTTCCTCAAATATAACATCAAAAAGACCTGGAATTGAAATTAGGACAAGGCCCCTATGACAGGAATTAAACAGATTTACAATGGGTAGAACACTTCAGGAAATATAAAATGTTTCCCTATTATGAACTTCAAACACCATCACATACTTTTGAAATAATAAATGCAAATGCAGACTTGAAACAATGGCCAAATATCACCAAAAAACACCCTAAATTCTCAAATAAATTCCATCTAACATTAAAGCATTTACTTGCAAAGCCTGTTAAATTATTTTGAGAGCTAGGCAGGAAGCATAAATAAAATTAGTTTGATTCCCAGAAAGGCATCTTTGGTTTTGAAGTGAAAATTGCTGTATGCAGTATTTCCAGGAAAAAAAATGAATGCATGTTGCACACATGCCTTCAATTCCAGGAAGAGTATTTGCTGCTTCCCTCACTACCAGAAAATTCCACTGTTGACACAGCATATTCCATTGAACAAAGTGATCAGCACTGCTAAATGTGCATCTCAGCAGCAGAGCCTGCCAGCACACCTCCACTGGTCTATCTGCAAATTCCTTTCAAAGGTCACTGCAGCACCTCTGTGGCACCAAGCCCATCCTTAAGTGCTTTCTGGAATGAGGGCCCAGGATCTTTAGAACTGAAATAAGATTTTTTTTTCTTTTTTCTAGCTCCCCATGCATTTGGCAGTCATGTCACTGTGCAGGGACATTTTACCTATAACTGGCTATTTACACCCAGTCTTCTGCTTTCCAGCAACTGCTTTTCATGCTGCTGGCAGATTTGCCAAGACAATCAACCTTAGTTTTCCTGATAAGGTTAAAAAGCTTGAGGCAATCAAATCTTCAACCATGCCATTCTTATCTTTTACTAAAGTTTAACATTTGAAATATCTAAGGTAGGGGAATTGGCTTCTGCCAAGCAGAAAAAGTCCCTTGTCTCTGTGTGACACGAACATTAACTCTGAGAGGAGAGTGAGGATGGGAGAGTGAACACCTCCTGTGCTGTGCTGCACAGTCCATTGCAACAAAATGAAGATACTGCACACACTGAAGCAGAACTCAGTTAACTGCAAAGCCACTTGGAGCATTATTCACTTTTTTCTGCTGACTTTGATACTTCTACTTCACCCAAAAGATTTTGCCCTGGACCTCCTGTTTCTTCCTAGGCTTCTGTCCGTTTGCTTTTGTTACATCTCCTCTCATGATTTTCAACCTATGTTCAGCTTGTCCCCTTTCAGGAAGCTGTTTCCCAGGGAAAACAAAGGACATGACTGACAAATTTACTTTCAACTATGAAGAATTCAGTGGATTCCAATCTGATTCCAAGAACAGATTTAACCTGTTCCAAATACTTCCTGTCCAAAGCTCTGAAAGCATTCTATAAATGTGACCTAATTAATTCTTTGACAAAATAATGCTATTATTATTTATCAAATAAGCAAACAAATGTGTGAAATACAAAAATCCATCTTAGGAAAATTTTCATACTGAGCTTTATAAACCAGGAGTCCAAGAAAGCCCCATAAGGAGCAGCACATCATTCAAGAACACAAGACCTTGCAAAAGAAAACTTCAACATTTCTATGCAAGACCAGTAGTTTTTTTAATAGATCAAACCTTGTAGATTCCTCAAATGAACACAAATCAAACAACTGCATAAGTTTTAAGTGTACCTTTGTTGCACTTTATCTGATGTAACAGAACAACTTATACCACCAAAGGGAATCTAAAGGTAATTTAAACAAATATTAATTGATATAAAGCCATAAAAAAGATGCCTTACTTTATCAAGGAGCAGCACACAGCTCGGAGGGGCTCATGATGCTTCTGCCTGATGTTGTTGTTGACCATGAAATCGAGCTCCTCTCGGGCAGCCCGGAGCTGGCTCTCGGTAACCCCGTAGCTCACAGACTCCCGAGCACAGTCCTCAATGTTGTGGGCTTCATCCAAAATGACTACTTGGTCTTTTAGCTTAATGTCCATCTAAAAAATAAAATTATTGTCTAGCAAAACAGAGTGAAAGACATGAGAAACAGCAACTAACATGATCCTGTTAAGAAATGCATATTCTGCATCACAGTGCAAATGAAGCTTTTCAGGTTTTGAATCAACTTCCATAACCTAGAAAATATCCAAGGGGGAAAACCCCCAGGAGTTACTTTGTAGCATTTTGGAAATGAATGGGATCTCAGCTAACCACAGAAACATAATATTCAGTGGTTAATTTCTTTTTAACTTCAGCTCTTGCAACTTCTCAGCAATATACTTACACTGTCCCGGATCTGTGGGTCCAGGAGATAATTGTAAGGACAGAACACAATGTCTGCCCCCACCATGAGCTCTCGGGCTGCAAAATAGGGACAGGCACGAAGCTTCCTGCCCAGGCTCACCAGGTCTTCAATGTCCCAAGCCTGGTACACACTGGCAGGCTGCAGGGCATGGTGCTCACTGAGCTTGTGAACACCGTGGTAATAAGAGCAGGACCTGCCCTGAAAGCAAAGTGTAGAGAATTAGTGGGTACAAGAAATAATAAAAACCAAGCAGGTTAAAATCTTCCAGTGTTCCATGCATTTGGCTATTTCTTGGAAACATTTCTGACAGCTGCTTTTTATGCAGACAGTAACACCTCATGCCAGGTAAATCCATGTTTCTAAAATGTACATCAACAAAGGACACTTCTTTCTTCTTCATTTATAAACCCAGAAATAATTTAAGTCTTATTACAACATTAACCTGACAGTCATAAGTCTTATTCCTGTCATGGTATGGTTTTGCAGTATTGCTACTGTGTATCAATTTCTAACAATTAATATTGAATTTTAATGTCACCAGGTGGCACTTAACCAACATAATATAAAGAAGCATAAAATGTTACTCACTCCAGCTGTTAAATCTGACTTTGTTTAATGAATGCTTATATTCTCAAACAAAATTACTCACATGTTTTCCTTCCAGCAATTCTACACACATTTCATTCCTGTTACTACTGTTGGACACCACTGGATGAATACAGGTATAATCCCTGCTGGAAAGGATTGTCATGGGGGCACAGGAATACGCTGTCCTCTTCAGCTCCCTGCTGATCTGGGTAATTTGCTTGTGTGTTCGTGTCCCAAAAAAAATCTTGGGAACACACAACCGATCTCCATTTTCTTTCTTCTTTGTGTGACTGGGATCTTTATCAGGTTCTTTTCCAGAAGAACAGGAACACTCAGTGCAAGGGCCAGGAGGCTGGAAACCAAGACAAAAAAATGATTCACAAAATCCCACTGTAAGATGAATGTGCTAAATCTGCTTATGGTCTGGAAAGTGTCCTCTGGGATAGCTGATTCAGTCACCAGGGCTGCCTATCAGGCTGCAAAAAGTTCTAAAATGTTAAAGCACCACATCCTTGTGCCTGGAAATCCCTAAAAAAAAAACTTCCAGCAATCACAATTTTATCACAACCCAACCAGAAAGAATTATTAATCCAGTGGAATATTTACACATGTGAATAATGCAAATAAAGCTTCTCACATTGAAGCTTCAGCTCAGGACACTCCTGTTATAGAGCAAGAGTCCAAAGCCTTCAATGAAGAAAACTTGGAACAGATACTCAAAATATCTTTTTTTCCTTAAAGCAAGCAGAAGAACTGTAGACAGTTCAGGAACTCTCTGTGCAGATAAAACAGACTACACCACATATTCTCCATTAGAAACATGTTTGCTGTGCCATTCTGCCAAAGGCCATCGAGTAACCAGGAGAATAAAAGAAACACAGGGAATAATTCTAAACAGAACCTAATCCTGTAAAACATTTGTTCAAAGCCCTTTTTTTTATTTCCTGAGAAGCACCATCATTCAGAACATTACATACTGAAACAACTGACAAGAAAGTGTCATAACGAATTTGAAGAGACACATAGGAAACAAGGAACTCAAGTGTAACCATGTCCAAACACACCCCTCATGAAAAATAAAGAGTTCTTCCAGTGTCAAAGAGTTTGTATTTGGGCTCCAGGTGGTAGTGCAGGTAACAACATGTAGCTGCTCACTGCAGAACTCCTCCCTCCCTTGAATTGTATCAGTAAGATTATCCATTATAAACAAATGCTAAGTCATGCTGCGTGTTACACCACAATTCTGGGGATCAAGCTGTCTTCAGCTTCCACTCCAAGGAAAAGCAAGTTCGTGTTTCCCTCAGCCCCACTCAGCCTTGTCTGCCATTAAATATTACAATACATGATAGAAAGCATGTAAATGTAACCCTCTGGAGCTGCCACTCACTGGGATAAAAGGTTCACTGATGTGCCAAATAAACAGGCCTCAAAGCAGATAAAGTTACACCCATGCTGGAATTGTTACATTCCCCTCTCAGGTTGCCAGGAACAGCAGATTTCATTACCCTGTGCTGCCACATTAAATAGCCAGTTCCAAATATCCTGCCTTCTATATTGAATAATTACTTATTCACTGAAAGGATAAAAAGAAGAGTTATGAATGGGGCTCTTGTCACCAGGCAAGCAGGAAACAGCTGACATATGGTATATGTTACATACGTGCAATGCCCAGCTCTGTGCTCTCACAGAAAGCTCCAATGCAAATGCTACATTGATATTTCTATCAGTTACATTCTGCTTTGCTCCTGGAAATAATGAAAACCACATTACAAGTTAAAAATTAATTCAACTGAAGCAGAGACTGCGTAGGGCCTTTAAGAACATGTCTATCTCTTAATTTTAACCCAAGTCAGACTGTGTTTTCAGAGGGAAAAACAATACACAGGACACCAAGATGAGACTTTACCACTAATATTTCACTATGCTAAACCAAAACACAGAAAAATATTAGGACCCATCAGGCAGCTGTTTTGCAAGAGTTCTTAGAACAACATGAAAATGCAGCTCAAATTAATATATAAAAACATGAACAGAAGGTTCTCCTACGATGGGCTTAAAATACCAGATATTATTCTTTTCATAAAAAAGAAATGAAGTGTTCTTATGTGTGAGGCTTATAAATTACAGTGTTTTACAGGTGGGCTTAAAAGTTTGGTTTAAGAGGTTTGGAGTTGGTATAATACTGGCATTAAGAAGCACTTTAGCCATTATTTCAGTACTAAAATGCTACCTTTAACTTTGAAAAAAGTTTTATGTTCAAAAAACACTCAAACCCACAATATTGAGAAAGCTGTAAAGTCAGGCTGATTTTATAGTAAGTAGTCAAGAAATAAAACTGCCTGAAGTAGTCACAGCATTTCTGAAAGCCACAGACACCATCAGCCCCAAATACATCAATAAATAAAACCTTTTTAGAAAGTCCTTCATAAAGAAGAAAAACTTCAGAAAATTGGTCAAAACATAGTTTAAAAGTTGAGTTCTTCATATTCTTTCCACATTACTCAAGTGAGTCGATTTGGATTTGAATTCTTAAAATACATCTTTAAATTATATTAAAGGCAAACGATTTTAATTCTGTACTTCTCTAAGAACCAAGTGTGGATATCATATAGCAACATCTAAGGTGTTGTTCCTCTTCCATTCCTACAGCAGAAAGAAAGAAAACCCTCCATGAACAAGGGGTTTCCTTGGCAGTGTTGCGTCAAAGCACAAATTTTTACACTCATACCACACAGATACGGGTTAAGATGTAAGAAAGTTAGAAAATGTTTCAATTTATCTGTGAAAGAATTAGGGGGGAAGGCTGATTAGAAATAATTCATATTAAGACAACAGAATTGTGTTTCTTAGTATCCTCTGACTTCAAAACTAAACCTGTTTTCAGCTGTTGGAATCCGAAAGAGGGATTTTCATTTGGAAGAGAGCAAAAAAAGATCCTCCTGTACTTTCTGCAGTATTTAATCAGAAACACCCAGGAGCAGATGCCATTAGAGATCAGATATCAGCCTATATGGACCTTAGGCTAATGCAGCTTGTTTGTACTTCTGTCAGGGCTAGATAAAACAGCCTATCACATCAATATTTATATGGCAAAAACGTGGAAGTCCGATTAAAAAAGGAATAATCAAGTCCACCACCCTGTCCTGTGTGTAAAATAGAGCTAAACAAACACTGGGGCTGTGATCTTTGAAACACAAAGAGGTAAGAGGAGTTCCTATCTCCATCTACATTTCCCAGTTACAAAGCCACCTGAATGCTGCAGCAGTGAATGTCTCTTGTGTGAAATATCACACAAGCACAATCTAAGGAGATATCAGCAGTGACATTAGCAGAGCTTTTCAACTGCTCCTTTGGAAGCTCTCAGAAAGCCCCGTATTCTGCTGCTGCTGCAGCCTCTTGATTAAAGCACACAAAGCAGCTGTTTATCCTCCCCCAGTCACCAGCAGGTGAACCCGGTTCAATATTTATCACAGGCTTTCACAGATCACTGCTAACCAAGCAAACGTTTTAATTAAGCTGGAACTTGCTTCAAAGAGCTCATTCAAAACGTCAATCAGCAGGAAAAGGATCAGATACGGTGTCAGGTGAGAGCATGTAATACAAATCCACAACTTTCTTCATCCCATCGTGGTAAATTAGCCCATTCTGGAGTCCAGACCCTGATTGTAACAGGCTGCCAGTCCCCTGGAATGTGTAACAGAAGTCACTCAAACCCCATTGTGCAGGTTGTAAGCAATATGTTAAACTGCAATGGGCTAGCACATTAAGACAGATTCTTTTCACAGTTGTTTTTTGATACCCCAAGTGTTTGTTACACTGCTCTCCATTTACTGTTTACTTTCTTTCCCTGCTAGAAATGGGGGATTCCTTAACACAGCTGCCCCAGTTTCTCAGGCCATATGCTTTGACAGAAGTAATCAAGAGAGTACCCTGAGGGTATAATTTCCCCTTTAAACTCACACTGGAACTGCCCTCCCTTGCAGGAGTTAATAGCAGAGGGCCAGAGATGGATTCCCAGGCTCTGGAGTGAGAGCAGCTGAGAACAGTTTGGATCCTCAGCCACACATCTGCAGGTATCATGATGCAGCAGTGCTGGGCAGCACCTCTCATGCTCTTAAAACAACCAACCCATTCTCCCTTGTGGAGTATAAACAGGACTTGATAAGAAACTAAATCTGCTTTAAGCAGAGGATTGACCACTGTAAAACACAGGTTATTCAAAGGCAGGGGTGCCTCAGTGAGCAGGACGATGCTGTTACCACATTATTGTACCACCCTAAATACACAGTCCATTAGGGGAAGTGTTAAACAGCAGCTCTGTTGACTTCTTTTCCTAAGCCACACTAGAAAAGCATTTTTACACCTAACAGCTTTCCTGTGATGCTCTTTCTATTCTAAACTAAATGCAGTTAAGGCTCAAATCTACTAATCAGAAATAAGGCTTTACTTTCTGCAATTTTCTTGATGCCAGGTAAGTTCTAAGTCTGTTAACGGAAAAGTTCATCACAGCAATAATACCTTATTCTTTCAACCTTAAAAAGAAATTTAAACAGAAATAACTCCCTTTCTTTCTTCTTAGGCTACTTCTTTATAAGATGTAGCAAATAGTATGCTGTTTAGTTTTCGATTTTCTTCTAGAAAAGAAATTTCTAGAAGTTTTAAATCAGATTTTTCATGCACCCACACCAAAGTACCAAAGGAAATTTTACAATCAGGAAGGACGAAAGGTTTTTTTATTTGAAAATCAATAGCACACTCTGGTGGCGTTTGGATTTCAAACTACCAATTGAAGCTCAGTGGCACAAAGCACTTCAAATCTTAGTCAAAAATCTACAGAGCTTTCCAAAATTAATATAACCTACCTCCCATCAAATGGCCTAAAACACAGATTCACTTCTGTTAAGAAAATATTTAGCTCCCAGTATCTTACACTAATCCTATAGCTTTTGGTTTCTTTTGTGGTTACTACATCACTAACATAACCTGGCCTCTCACACTCAGCTCTCTACTGCCTCCCATTTCTTCTTCTACTGCTTTTACTCCGACAAACATTTATGTAAAATCTATTTTTAAACAGTAAGAAATGCAGAAAATGCCTAACAAAGCTGCAGAAACAGGTAAAAAGCTGTATCTTAACTTCTGATCTGACACTTGTGTTACAGAAAGTGGAAATAAAACCCAAAACACTGGGGAACATTTGCATTAACTGCAATGTTTGCTCAAACTTCATTAAGCTGCATTTCATGCATAACCCCTTCACATAAAATATTGTTTAAAATGGTTCTTCAACACTCCTGATGTAAAAAATATTCCTGAATTACTCACTGTTTGGGGAGAAAAAGTAGTGGTTTTCATGCTTTTTTCAGAGTGAACAGTCAGCTCTCCATTTTTTCTCTGATTATAAACTTCTAAAGCATCAACAAACTGGACTCCTTTTGCAAAGCAGTGACGTTTTCTAACCTGCTGGGGAAAGAAACAGTGTAAAAATGCACTGGGCAGAGGGATGTGCTCACACTGACAAGTCCTGGTTTTGTTTCACCTGAGCTTGTTTTAGTAACTGGGCATCAACAGTTTAATCAAATCTAAGCCACACAAAAGTCATCAGGGAAAGCTATAAAGTTTTAATTATAAAAGAATCTGTAGATAATAAAGAGCTTTTCTGCTTTGCTTTCCCACTGTTACAAAACTTACAGAAATTACAATACCATCAACTGGGAATAAATATATTTTGGGGCTATTACTTGTTTAATTGAGAAAGATTTTAGGACAGGGTATAATGAACAATTTAGTGCAACAAGGGATTCCTTTGTAACAAGTAACAACAAAAATGAACAAAACCCTGTCACTCTAATCTGTGACTGTGATATGACTCAGCTGTTTCCTACACCCTCCTCTGTAACATTAACTGGGATTTGAGAGTTTGCTTGAGCTACGCCCGGATTATTTCACTGCCCATAAACTCTGCTCACCTGCTGTTCTGTTTCTAAAGGACGAATCCTTTTCCTGTCTACTTGAAAATCATCGTTCTCACTGTCATGAAGGGATAACTTTTTTTTGGCAGACAGTTTTGAAGCCAGTGTTTCATTTTCCTTGCATTCTGTAATTAACAAAATAAAACGGATGTCCATTACTAGGGATGCATTAAATAAGGGCAATATTTTAAAATGTAGTTACTACAGAACAGTAACTGATAGAATTACTATAAAATATATGGTGTAGAAAACAGTGTTAGACATTTCTAGACACACTAACCACTGTACAGATTTCATGCAGGACAGAACCATGTCTGCTGTTATGGTAAAAAAAAGTCCTCGGCTTGAAAGCAGCAGAATTTTCGCTGCCTACAGATGAAGTTACCTGTGTTTGTCAGCGAGCTTCCAGGCTTTCTGGAAGTTCCTGTGTCAGGATAATTGGCAGAACAAGGAGCACTGTGAGTCACACTCATTGCAGCCTCGTTGCTCTTGGGCTGGGAGTGACACTTGCAGTGACATGGTGGGGAGGGCTCTGCTTTCCTGTCCTCCTTGTCACTCGATGAGGTTGGCACGGATTTTTCTGGGGGACAAAGTCATTTGTCTATCATTAAAAACCACTCCAGACACAAGAGCCAGAGGTGCACAACAGTGAAGATGAAAGTTCAGGTACCAGTCATAAGCTGTGGTCACCCTCTGAAGAACTGCAGTGCACAGAAAGGAAAACACCTCCCTCTTCCATCCACACAGCCACAACCCACAAGGATTTTCTTCCAAAGTTCCAACAGCCACTCCCTTATGGGATCTAAACCCAGCTTAGCACTATTGCTTTATGGGGGCATTAAGGCAAGGTGTCCAGTGGTGGACCCAGACCTGAAACCAAACGTTTAAAGGCTGATGAAAACCAATTAATTATTTTATCTTTTGTAATAAAAATTGTGCAGTGAGACACTTACCATACAAAGCCTGCTGCCATGATAATGCAGAACAAAGTAATGCCAAGCTTTTGCCACTTCCTGTGGGGCTCTCCAGCAAACAGTGCTGCCTGTTATTCAAGCCTTTAACAATCTTTAAGGAGAATAAAAGAAAAAGAATTAACAGAATACAAAGCAGATGTCTTTAGCTAATCTCAGCAATAACATCCTAATGTCCAGCTTGAACTTTCTCTGGCACCTCTTAAGGCTGTGCCCTCTTGTCCTGTCACTGGTTAAAACTTTTTAAAATTGTTTAAATATAAATGCAATCATTCATTTTGAAAAGTTCTCCAAAAAAACTGAAAACTTATTGAAATATTACTATACGTAATTATTCTGCTTAAACAACATGTCTTACTAAATCATTCCTGCCCCTAAAAACTTGAACATTTGTATACAACTGTTATTACAGCACACCTAGATAAATAACCACATACTTACACCACATGGAACTTGTTTCTTGACATAAATGCTCCCAAATCCAAAATGTACTTCACCATTCCCTAATCATGGTCCAGATGTTGCACAGCACAGAGAACACTGAGTGGTTACCATGAAATTCTCAAGCTACTGCAAGCTCTGAATTTCATGTGTCAGCTTTCTAAATGCTGACAGAGATTCTGGAATTCCAAATAGTGGAAAACACAAGCTCTTAGTCTGGCAGATGCCAGTACAAATTCTACTTACAGCATTCATCATAGCAAGCTGGGAGGGGTAAGCCTTGCAGGGGAAGAGGATCTTCACCCCCCCAATGGTATATTCTGCCCCATCAGAAGGCATTGCCAGTTTTTCTCCTGTTTACTTCAGGTTTAAAACTGCAATTGAAATACAGAATTAGTAATTCAATGCTAACAAACAAAGCCTGAAACAAATGTTAAGCTAGTAACAGCTCAGGATGTTAGCAGAACTGGAATATAGGAATTCATCCCACACATCATCATTTTAGACTTGGTCATCATTACAAGCAAGAGCAAGTTGCCACCAGCTAGAGTAACATCAGCAATTTAAATAAAAACACCATAAGCTGCACACACCAGTTCAGATTCCATTAGTCAGACTGCAGACAGAACCCAAATCCATGCAGGAAAAATATTTTAGAATATTAAGTAACTAAAACCAGACAGTTTTTTAACTCTAGAGGTCCATCTTGAACTGCAAGATGTCATAAATTACAAACATACAGCAGCTTGTACATTTTATAACAACAAAAATAAAACTGGACAGTGACTTTAAAAATGAGGTATTTAAAAACATCTTCCACAAATAATGTGGTAATTAGGGGAAAAGGAGTATCACTCACTTTACTATTCTGTGATTATTACTTTGAATATCTCTGGATAACAAAAGACAATTTCTTCGTGTTAAAAAGGTGAAGTTATTGAATTAAAAATATTGCAGAGGCATAACTGGCTTCAATATTTTTGAACAACACAGGGTGGGGTTTTTTTTCATCATAGTTTTTCAGCAGCGACAAAGACAGCAGCTTTAAACTAGCAGATTCCCCGGGATAAACTAACTCACTGACTTGTGTCCTCATCTGATTTTTAATAATTAAACATATATATCAAAAAAGCACCAATGCATGGCATGATTCAGCTTCACCATCGAGTTTCCCAATAGGAAAAAGCAATTCTAGAAAAAGAAGAGCCCTGACATGAGTTTACATCAAACCTCTCCTTCCAAAAGGAAAGGTCACCTCGCTCCAAGGCTTTTCCCCAACCCATTCTGGGAGAATGACTCGCTTTAAAGAGCACAACTCCGAACTAAGTTTGCCCCTGAGGAGGAGGGAGGGCCCGGGACACCGCACAGAACCTTCGCGGTGTGACCAGATCCACCAGGAGCGCACCGGGCGCTGCCCACAGTCACATCTCGACCCGGGCACAGCTGCTTTGCCTCCCGAGGGCAGGCGGCGCTTAGGAAGCAGTGATGCAGCCCCAACCCAGCCCACACAGCAGCACCTGGGGGTTCGCTTCCTTTGTGTGTTCGGCGAAGCGGAGGCGCCGGCAGCCGCTTCCCCCGCGCCCCTCACGGCCCCACCGCGGCCCCTCAGCGCCCTCCGTCCTTCCCGCCTCCGCCTCAGCCAATCAGCTGACAGGAAAGGGCCGCGAGCCGCCAATCAGCAAAGCGCACACTGGGATGCTCCCGCCTTATCGCTCTGCGCGCCGAGCCAATCACAAGGCGCCTCGTTGGTTTCCGGGTTGCACGCGTTGCTAGGCAACCGCGCTTTTTGTGAACTACCTATTATTTTTGGCCTTTATCATTACTATTATGAACAATATCTTTATTATTATATTGGCTTTATATTTATTATGTATTATAGTATTTTATAGATTGTCTTTATTACTTTTTATAATATTTTATAAGTATGGCATATTATTATTTGGTATTATTACAGTTATTATTGTTGTTGTTATTGTTATTAATATTATCCTTGTTTTAAGCAGAGTACTGAGAAAACACCATGGAGAATTAATAGTTTTTGGAAAGTCAGTGTCTTTTCACTGCCACACACAGTTCCTGTCAGATGTCTGTGCCCCCAGGTGTTTCCCACAGGTGAAATTTGGGATGAACCTGGAAAACTTAAAAGCAAAACAGGCAACCCCCTTTGAACTTCAGTCATAATGTTGTTGGGTTTTTTTATTTAAATACCACTACAGCATATAAAATTACACTTAGAACTGAGGAGGAAAAAAATACATACATTTATTTACATAATTTACATAAAGATGACAAAAATACACTCAGTAGGCAGATGGTGATAAGGGGGTGTTACGGCAGGAATCCTGGAACACAAACCCACAGGGGTTTCCCACATTTCCATGAGGGAATTCCATCCTTACACAGGAAAGAACAACCAACTCCACGATGGAGCAGAAAGGATTTGGCCTTGGAATTGCTTTGGCATGGCTGAAACCTGTTCCTCCTCTCCTTATTCCTCTGCCCAGTCACCCTCAGCATCCATTTCTTTAATCTTATCCTGATGACAGCTCAAGACACCTCTGCTAAGAGTCTGTGACTCCTTCAAGTAATTTTCATCTTTTTTAAGTTAAAAATCACAAAACCATCTGAGCTGTATTCTTTAAAAATCCCATTTCTACCATTCAATTTTACTAACAGTACTTTTTTTTTTAAGAAACTTTTAGACCAGTTTCAAACTCTCAGTGAAGGCTGGTTGATCTTTAAGTTCCCGACCTCATGAACTGAATTTGAACCAATGGTTTAACACACCAATAAATGTTATAATTTTCTTAGAACTCATATGATGGTGCAAGATTTTGACATCACTTTTTCAAGTATTCCTTGGAGTACTTTATTCCAACTAGCTCTGCAAGGCTCTGTAACAGCAGCTCATTTACCTCAAGAAAAGCACTTCAATCTCAAAATTTTTCTCACCCATCATTTTGCTGTTTGCCCAACAATATAAATATTCACTTTTCAGTGTTATAAAACCCTTCCAGGTGTGTTGCTCTGTCACTTCAGGAGCTGAGCAAGCCTGAAAATCACTGTTTCCCTGGAAATTATTTACTGATGTCTTCAGCCTCAGAAGTTCTCACTGGAACCAACAAAATCCTGTTGAAAGGATTTTCTTCTCTGCCGTGACTGAATCAATGAATGAAAAATGTGGACTTTTCCTCCAGCTCCTCAGTCCACTTTCACAGCTTTTTCCAAATTTAGGCACCATTAAGAGAGGGAAAAGCTACAGGACAACTTCCCTGGAGTTTTTCCTAAATTCCACTGACACTCATGTTGATTATTTCAATGATGGTGTTTTCCACACACTGGCACAGCCGAACATCAGGGTCCAGGCTTGCAGTGTCCCTGGAACAGCTTTTGCTGGAGGAATCTTTACAGAGTCCTGAGAAATCATGTGGCTTCTCCTTCAGCTGCTGGAGACCTAGAAAATGAAGCAGGAGAAGCGAAGTACACCTCAGTAAGTATTGAGAATTGTTATTTTCCAGCCATAACACAAATATGGACGTTATGAGATTGCAAAACTGAGCCAGCACCATTCCATGCTTCACCACAGGTTATTTCTTGAGACACCACAACATTTCTGTCTCATTTCCCCGTGTCTGAAATCTTTGGGGTGCTTTCCAAGGCCCTTGACTTACGGGTGATGATGGGGTCGAAGTCTCGTGTCTGTGTAGCAACATCAGAGGCACAAACTTGTCCAATTTGGATCAGCAGGGACATGATGTCCTCATACAGGGGAGGAAAGGCTTGGCAGAAGGACACCAAGCAAGGCAGGGTGGGCATGAAAAACGTGTAACGTTTGGACTGGGTCAGAACTGCCAAGGAGGAGGAAATGGAGAAGTGAAAATAAAAATCAATCAAGAACTGTTGTTACTTTTACAATAGCAATTAGACAGAAAACTGCATTCTGACTAGAGAAATCATCCTAGCAGTGGATTTTGGGATTTACCTGTGAGCAGGGTCCCCATCACATTGATGGCCAAACGAGCCACGCTGAGGGATTTGGGCAGAGCATACTGGATACACAGGTAGGAGAGCAACTGGATGGCAAAGATCTGTCAAAATGAAAAAGCAATGAAGTTACAGGATGTTTTACATCTTCTATCCAAAGCTCTTCACCACACTTAATAGTAAGTAAATATTCTCTGTTTTATCATGAAGGAAATTGAAGCCAAAGAAGCCTTAACAATAATTATGATTATTTTTCTGCTGGTATTAAGAAAAATAACTCACACATATTTAACATTAATCAAGGTGTTTCAAAATCTCCCCCAGACACTATTGCTCCAATATTAATGATGAACAATAAAGCAACACACAATGTTCAATACAACCCTTGCAGAAGATACTCAGGTCTGATATATTCTAGTTTTAACCTTAGTTTCAACCTTTGTTGATCAGCAGCAACTTAATGCCAGAAAGGATTAATTAAGAGCAACCACAAAGCTGGTTTGATATAGAAACAGGGAATCTTTAGCTCAATAAACTCCAGTTGCCTTCAATACCAGGCCTTTACTGAAATGGAAAAGTGCTACAAATATGATCTGAATATCCCAGGCAAGTTAGAACAGGATGTTTTTAGTTTTTAGTGTTTTTATTCTCCCCCCCTCAGCCAATTTCATCAGGGTTAATACCACAGTGATTCCCCAGCCAGGTGACTGCAGAGTACCTGCTTTTCCAGTTCAGGCTGGGCAATGAGCTCAGGAATGAAATCCAGACAGATGTGCATGGATGGGATCCCAGCCACTGTCAGTGCCAGAAGTTCACATGGATAACCCTGTGGGATTAAGAAAACAGATGTGTCAATCTGTCACAGGTGTGTTTTAAAAATTCTGCTTCAACTAAGATTTTAAATTATACCTGTGCTAATGTTTTGTTTCAAAATGAATATATTTCTAACTCCCTTTTGTTCAGAGTTCGCAGCAGGCCTGTAATGCCAAGGCAACAAGAGGCAGGCTGGGTACAAACCCAAGGTTTGAATCAGTTCTTTATCCTCACTATTCAATGATTTATTTGCATGGAAGCTCTCCCTCTATTCTCCAAAGGAAAGCAGACTGCAGTGACCTTTTCCTTCTGTGTCTTTCCTGCGTTCCAAATTTCACCATCAGCCCCAACTTGCTCATTTCACAACTGCCCTGTAATGACTTTTTTATCACTTAATCAGTTCCAGGTCAAGGCAAATTAACTCTTTGTAAAGAGTCTGCCATCTGGCAAGGCACAATTTAATATGCATTAAAAACACATTTATATTATAAAAATTGCTGATCTTTCCCCTCATCTTTTTTTTTGAAGGTGCTCAGCTGCTTTTTCAGAGCCAACCTTTCTCCTCCCACTCTAAAGAGATAAACTGTGCCCTAACAAAAAGGAAAGATAAGGAGATGTTTACATTTCAAACCAAATTAGTTTTGAATAATGGGAATATTAATTTAAAAAGATGGCCAGAAAAAAGTAACCCACAAAAGATGTGGAACAAGTAATTACAAGATGATTAGGGCAGTTTTCCTTGGCCCAGATGGACAAACTGAAAAGGGCAGAAGCACAAAGGAGGGGTTTTGTGATGAGGAACAGGCAGAGTTTGGGTGCTGCCTTCTCACTACAACCAGGAGACCAAGCACTGAAATTGAGAAGAAGTGTGAGCTTTACAAACTGGGGGAGATAGGAAGGAGAAGAGTGGGTTGTTATCATTTCTGAGGAACATTCAGCAGCCCCTGACCACCCCCCTTGGCTCCTTCCCACCCTGACAAACCAAGCCAGAGCTCAAGCAGTGCAAAGCAGACCTGGAAGTGCACGAGTTTGACGATGTTGGGGTCAGCAATGTACATCTGGTGCAGCAGGCAGCAGATGAGGCACTGCACCTCCCGCAGGTTGCACAGCAAACTCTGCTCCTCCTCCTCTGCCTCAGCAGCCTGTGGGCTCGGGGGGCTCTGCACATCCCCCAGTAAATCCTCAGCACTGCTGCTCTGGCCCTTCTCTTCTTCTGTAGGCAAGCAGATCTCCAGAAGGATCTGCACAGCAGCACTGTCCTGGGGAGAAAAGCCACAGAAGATGCTTAAAAAACCCCCAAAACAAATAAAATACAAAGTAAGAACAATTTAAGAAATGGAAGAATGTAATATGATTAGGATTTCTACCTATAGATTTTTTTAAGTACAGAATGAAAATTACTCAGCTCAAGAATCACAAATCCTGTAGAACATTTAAAAAACATCAACACTTTATCTCAATCAAAATGCAAAGAAATAAAAAGGCTAAATCTAACAAAATATCATAATCACAGATGAAGAGTAAATTCAGTGCAATCTCATATTGCTTTGAAATAAATTATCAAGTGGTCCTTTAAAGCATCCAGAGCAGACAAAGTATGCACAGGGCTATGTAATTCACAGTATTTATCACCCTGCTCACTTAAATACAAATAACTCAAAAATCATATTAAAATGGGAACTTCCTATGTGACATCTTTCCAGACAGAGGGATGAAGAGATGCCCGTGGAACAGGATTACTCAAGAATTTCCATAATGTCAAGCTAAGGAAGTGAACCATCCTTCAGCCTCCCACTTTCCAGTGCTGGCTGCTTCTCTGAAACATCTTTCAGATGATCAGGCATGGGTCTGTCACATTTATTGATGTTTTGCTGCTCCAAATCCGACCACAGAAACAGCCTCTGGATCACAAAAGCATCAAAGCAAAAAGGGCTGGTGATCAGAACTCTTCTGTTTTGACAGAACAACCACTATCAAAGCAGTGAATCAGCACAATGCTTCAGACTAGAAAACAGAAAATATTTAACCAGCTGCATACAGAGGCAGTTTTATTTTCCCTGGTAACAGAAGTCAGGGAAAAAAAAAAAATATATAATTTAAAAGGCCTTTATTTTTTAATTTTCTATTTCTGCATTTCTCTTTCATCATTGTTTTTCCTCACATCATGCAATATCCATTTCTTCCCTCTTACCTGAGCAGCAAGCAAAGCATTTTTTAACTCTTCCCTTGTAACTTCTGGGGCTTCTGGACCCATTGCATTGTTTTGGGATGGCCTAATGTCCTGCTCTGCTGTTTCCTTCAGGTGAGCATTAAGGTAAGCTTTGGAAGCAAGAAGATATCCATTCAACATGTGCAAAATGATATCCATCAGAGGAGGACTCCTGAGATGGGAACACAGTAAAACAAACACATTTCAGTAACATGAACAAACTAAAGGTATTCCCAAAGGCTGTAGCACCACAGCTCCTCCTCTGGCATCACTGACATCTGGAGGAACCAATTTCCAAGTACTGCAAGGACTCCCTTGGGAAATTAAGCAAATCTTCCTCTGCCACATCCATCAGCACCCACTGGCAGAAACTATTGCCCAAAAGGATGGATTAACCTACAGGCACAAGAGCTGGAAGGATGTTACAGCTAAACCTCACCCACCACCACGTGGCAGCAGCCATTTCCAACACGCTGCCAAGTCTGTTTACCACAAATTCACACGCCCACATCCAAAATGGATGAGCCATGTGCAAATCCCAAAGTTTTGAAAACACAGCTGGACAGGATGAAATACTGGAACAGCAGGACCAGCTCCACAGTCCTCAGACTGGGCTTACACAGATGCAACTGCCAAGCTCCTGTGATTAGTCTGAAAAGAAGTTTTGAAGTGCTGAAAGCTTTTGAAAGTGTTTTGTTGGACAGCTTTATGTTAAGCACTCACTGTGCAGCAGCACAGGCACTCACCTGTGAACTCTCTGATCACACCTCAGTACAATCAGAGGATCAATCATCAGATCATTCTGGGTGTATTTCTGCTGTCGCACTATTTTTGCTGAAGGCTGCAGGGCATTAACAGTCATCACCCACAACCTAAAATGAGAATATTTTATGATGGTTTTAATAGAAATTTTGTACAAGAAAAGGGGCTCCCCTAAGCATTTGGTCACTCAGCTGTATTTTTCTAGGCCTACCAAGTAGCAAAAACCCCATTTGCAGCCCTTGAAGTTAACCAAGGTGCAGTTAACTTACACTCCTTGGACTAACAGCAGTTTTCACTGCAATACAGTATCCACTTCATTAAAAAAGACATTTTTTTACCAAAGTGAGTTCCTGTTCCATCAGTAATTCATCACAAACAATGGACACTATAAAACCATACTCCTGTATTTTACACTGAAGACTTCCTTTCCCCTGAGAACAAGAACCACCTTCCTTTTAAATGCAAAGGTTTAAAATGTCAACTAACTAAAAAAAATGCAGCTCCAACACATGCTATCCAGTCACAGCCTCTGATCTCCCACATGAAGGCATTGGGTTATTTTTAAAAGAAAAAGTGGCCTTGCACCTATGTGAACCAAGAAACCAAACAGTATTTTGATACCTTCTGGGCATGACAGTGTTCAGAACCATCCAGAGTTTATTGACAGCCTGCAGAATCCCCCGTGGGACTCCAGCTTCCAGCAAGAGATTCATGTTCGACGTCAACACTTCTGCATAGGGGATCAATTCTCCAGCTGAGAGAAGAGTCAAATGTTCCAGGATCTGCATCAGCTGGGTGTGATTTCCAGGCAGCATGGAAAAGGCTAAAACAGAAACAAGATCTTGGTAAAACTGGACTTCTGACATTTGAACCATTTTGGTTATATAAATGCAGTATAATCACACCCTTCCAAATCTACTATATTCCAGTCCATTTGGAAAGAATTTACTTGGAATGAAGTTCTTTACCTTCTTGGAGCTGTTTGGGAGAGTGGTTCTTGGCCATGTTGGTGAGGAGCATCCTCCTGAGCAGGGCATCAGTGCCGGTGATCTGCTCCTCGCAGATCCAGTCGTCCACGATGCACAGGTGGGGGTAGTTGGTGGCCAGGAGCCTCAGCAGGGCAGAGTGCAACCCTTGGGGACATCAGGGATATTGACAGCTCAGATTTGAGCAGCTGCATCTGTCATCTGAACACATCTGTGCCTTTTATTTCAACCCCTGAACTGAATTGCTGCCCAGCAGCTCAGTGAGGTGCACATTCACAGCCTGACACTCCATCAGAGTAAAAGTTACCCTTTGGAAAGTAACTCCTAAACTCAGCCTGGAATACTCAACATTTTCAGGTAATTCCTACACTAAAACCTGCCCTAGGGAGGTAAGACCCACTCTAAAAGGACCTGCTTTCCTCACACTTCCACTGTGACTCTCCAAACATCTCTGCAATCTCAGTAGCTACTCCTGACTTTAAAGGCAAGAAAAAGGAAAGCAAGCTATGAAAAAGCAACAACCACTGAGCTGAGAACTCTCAGCCCTTCACTTCATGCACTTTAGACCTTCAGACACGTTTTTACCTCCCAGTTCCTGCTGCAGCCCCTGTGCCTGCCGGATGAGGTACTTGATTGGAATCTGATCCATCAATGCTGAGGAGTAGGACTTGGGTTTTCTCTGCATTGCAGCTACAGGAAACAGGACAAGAAATCACACATAGGATTACAGCCAAAAAAAACTATTTCCCCAACTAGATCAATAAAGAAAATGTAAAGCACTTGTCTCCATATTATCCAGGTAAAATTGACAAAATATCAAATAACTGTAATTGATTTTATAATATTTCAAAGTAGGTAAAAAAAAGACTACAGAATACTGGAAGTTTTGCACCTTAAAAAGGGCTAATTAAAACACACACCATATACAAACACTGAATTTTCACTGAAGTTTAATTTAATCAATAAAATACACAGCAGTCCTTTAGAACTGATTTAAAGTCTTCATTTCAAAGGTAAAAATGGGATCATTAAGTATTACCAACTATAAAACTGCCAACTGAAAGAAAAATGTGTGCATGTCTGATGATATGTGAATAAATGAAGATCTTAAATAATTATGAAGTCTTTGTTAATTGTTACTGCATTCCTTAGACGCTTATAAACATTTCTTGTAACTCAGCTTGGACCTCTTTTACTCTGTAAAACAAATTACTCCACTAGAGAGTTTTAGCAGGAGCTTTATGTCCTGAATCTCTACAGCAATGTTTTATTTCATCCAAACTTCTAAAAGTTTTATGCTCTGCTTGAATTTGACAGAAGCATGAATTTTTCCCCTCTTTGCACCTAATTTTTTAGTTCATCTGTTTCCTCCTGGTGGTCTCACATTTACCTAGAATCTTTGTGTTGGCCAGCAGTGCCTCTTCATAGGACAGGACGTAGTAGAGGACGAGCAGCTGTGTGGTGATGCTGAAGCGCTGGGTGGGACGAGTATTTTCTCCCTGCACATAAAACCACACAAGAAGGTCAGGTTGCATTCATGACTCTTGAGAAGAAAAATTTGGATTTACCCACAAATATGATGAATGAGTAACAAGATTCACTTCAAAACACATGACTGCCAGTGTAGCAGGAGAGGGTTTAGAGGCAGTGAAAACAAAAAGTGAAGCAACATTACACAAATACAGAATCCTGAGCCATGTCCCATGAAGAACAAGAAAGATCCAGACAAGATTATTACCCCAGAGAGTCCTTGGAAAACATTCAGGATCTCCTGTTCAGTGACAGGCTGGTTGGTGGCCTCTGGGTTGGATTTAGATGCAGGAGTGAGGATGGAGTTAATGTAGACATCAATAAGGGGAAGCAGCTGAGGGTGCAGCGGGGTGGTGGTTTCACAGAGCTGCCGATAGATCCAGTCCTACAAGAGAACATCCCAGGACACAAACAGCTGCCAGTCTGCTTTGTCTGCAAGCACAACCCCTTTCAATAAATGAGCCTTTGACTTTGGAAAGTGTAACATCAGTTCTGAACTGGTCATAAATTCGGTACCCTGAACCCTGATTCACAAATAGAACTTGTCTGGGCTGGGAAATCATTCTGACTACAATGAAGCACAGATGGAGGAGAGAGACTTAAAATTTTTTACTTCATGAAGCTGTGCTCTCTGGATTGCAGAGTTAAAAATGGGCACCCTAACTTAAAACACTGTTCATTCTTAAATTACATGGTAGGGAGGTACAAGATTCATCAAGAATTCTGTTCCTATAAAGTCAACCAGCGTGCAAAACCTCATGAGCATTCAGAATTATGAACAGAAATAAAACAAAGGCGGTACCTTAATGGATACTTTGTGCTTGGTGAAGGAACGACTCTTTAAGAGCTGGTAAATGCAGTGAATAGGTAAAAAGCCAGTGATGTTGGCACTGAGGTTGCCTGTCACAGGCACACGAACAGCGTGGGCTGTAACCACCTGAAGAGACAATGAACAGAAAAACACCATTTAGCACAAGATGTCAAAGTCACAGAGCCACAGCCCTGACTGGCATCTCCTTATTTTTGGGGAGTACCCCAAAGGGAAAGGAAAGGGCAAAGAGGGAAAAAAATCCCTAGGTTGAAAATACCTGTTCAGTGAAAATCTCCTGTGTGAAGATTGTCTTCATTCTGCTGAGCGAGCTGGGCTTAATAACAATCTGAAATTCAGAAGAAAGTACTAAGAATTGCAAGTTCTATCTTTCTTATAAGTAAAGACTGCACATTTATTTTATAAACTGTTAACTTTTAGCCTTTTAAAAGTTGTCTGTTTTCCTGGTATCCCAGTCAATTCACATCTGTATCAAATGTCAAACAGAAATATTTTCCAATGTCACAAGTTCATCACCTTGTGTCTTCCTCATCCTAAAAACTCCATCTCCAGCTTTTACACATGGTGAGACAATGCTTCACAATAATGAATCGTTGGCAAATCTCCTTTAGCAATTTACTGAAATTAATTTTTACATATATAGGTATTTCTTTTAACTATTTAAAATAAAAATTTTGCAGCTCAGCTTGGAAACTACTTCAGTTAAGCCTTCTAAAAAGTTCATTTCTTGGAAATAATGATTTCAACAGGGCAGCACTTTTTGAAGATACTTTTATCATCACATTCCTCTGTATCAAGAGCTATTCACGTTTTCATGTTCTTACAGAGGAATTATTACTAATTTTTCAGGTTATGTTTATTTTAGGTATATTAGCAAAACCAAAGCTCTTTATATCAAAAGTAAACTAAATACCAAAGTATCAAAACCCAGGAAAAAAGCTGATTTTAACAGACAAATGTGCAGGAAATAGTTAAGGCTTTACCTTCATTCCCAAGGTGGAGCAGACCAAATCAATGATGGCACTGAGCTGGTTGCTGTGGAAATACATGGCCACCAAGAGGAGCATCTCTCCAAAGGAAGCAGACACACCAGAAATGCTGATGATAATAAAGAGGAAGAAATACAAGACATAAGTAAATAGGACATAAATAAATGTGAGATTACTGGAATCACTGAAAGAAATCCAGCCTGCTCTCACCTTTCAAAGTAGGCTTCTTCCTTTATCATCCAACTGAGCCACATCACCATGAGTTGCTCCTGCTCTGGAGTGCTGCACAAAGAAAATCCCTAATAGATCCTTTTCCCGGAAAACAAGTGCTACTTTTACCAGCACTTGCAGAGAAGCCAGTATATGAGGAATCTTACACCAGGAGACTTTTTGTCACTTTCATATTAGCATCCAACTGCTGATAAGCAGCGATATTTGGCACAAAGGTCAGTCCAACTGCCAGGCAGCTTCCTTTTTAGAACACACCCAACAGAAAGCTACACCCCTGAATTATCTGCACTGCTTTTAAGGATTTTAGCCATGAATTTGCTCCATGGAAAAGTGAACTAGTTAGGCCTACTACAATCTTCAAAAAAACACTCACACTAACTTCATACTAATGGTTACCTCTCAAAAGACTTGCTATAAAACAAGAGTGAAACATCCATTCACTTTGCAGAGTGAGACAAACTCCTTCCATCAACATATGGAGATATTATAAAGAATTAGGGGGAAAAAACCTGCGCAGCTGCAGATGGGGCATTGCCTTAATGGTGTTAAAACAGTCAGATCTTCCAGAGCTCCTCCTGTACTGAGAGTACCTGACCAGAGTGGAGAAGGCCAGGAGCATGCAGAAGGACAGGGACACAAAGCGGACACCGGCCGGGGTTGCGGGAGGGCGGCAAGACATAAAAATCTCTGTAAGATACAACAGTGAGAAAACTTCCCCAGGATATAGTCTTGCCTATTAGTACATACTACTTCAATTAAAACTAACAATGCATAAAGATGCTACATTAGCACTCTCTAAAAAGTGAAAGCAAAGGAATAGAAACTCAAAATCCATACAATGTATGCTGCTAGAACAGATAAAATAGCTGTTAACTCTACACACTGCTCCAACCATGTGGGTTTAGAGTTCTCTTAATGAGTCTCCAGAAGTGATTTTGCAGCAACAAAGAACTGAAATTGCTGAGTTCTGCCCCAAGTTTTGAGGACACAGAAGCATTAAGACAGAAGTGCCCAAAGCCCTCTGCTGAAATAGGCAGCCATGAACAAAACCCCAGAGCATGAGAAGGTTCCTTACTTGAGGCCAGCAATGCCCATGAGAGCACAGTAGAGCCTCAGCAAGGCGCTGGCCTTCACCACGTGCTCCTCCTTCAGCCCTGAGTACACGGACACGTTGGGCTCGGTGTCAGCGTCAGCCTCCTCCACAATGTGTGTGCTGCGCACCGTGGGCAGGATCCCCATGAGCTCCAGCAGCAGCTGCCTCCTCATCTGCCACAGCACAGAGCTGATGTTATCTCTTTTTCTCTGTGTAAGAGGATAAAAGATGAGAACAATGTCAAATTCAGCCCATTGAACAATGGATTATAAAAGAGTTTCCACGGCCAACAGTTTCCACTGTCTTTTTATTCAAGACAGTTTTCAGCTCCAAGCTTTAGCTAAGTCACCTAAGCAAGTCAAGATGCATCTTCCCACTGTGGACACTGAGGATGAACATATTTATCAGGCAAAACATACAGTTCCCTGGTTTCCACACCTAAAAGCCCCTCAGGGGAACAATCAAATACCTGATGCCTTTAGGGACATTATTTATAGATCTGAGAGCTCTGTAAGAGGAGTTTGCCTTGTAAAGACATGCAACAGGATTTATGTGCATTCAGACAAATCTGCAGCACAGGTCCAGAAGACTTACAGCAAACTAGAAGAATGTTTCTTTAAAAGCAGAATACTCAAAGGTTTTCCTACCTGTTGGCCATTTCGGATGAAAGTTCCAAACCATGTCCTAACCTTTGCATTTGTTCCAAGCAGCAAACCACTCACAAAACACACCAGGTCACTCACTCCATCATCTGAGGATTCATTCTTGGTGTGATCCAAGGTCAAAGCCACACCAAGACCTGGCAGGTGACATTCTTCCACCTGGATAAAACACTCAGGCTCAGTCATCTTTGCTGGGTTTGAAGCTTCAGGAAGGTTCTTAATGATGATTCTCATGACAGACTCACCACCATGCCCCGGACTCTCAGGGCTTGGGAAGGGTTCATCTTGCACAGGTGCCGAAGAGCTTCTGTTCTGCGCCGGCCTCCGACGCTCTCCTCATCCTGCCGCTCGCCGTTCTTAATCAAACCTCTGCAGACTAAAGAGCCAACAGCAGCTCTGAGGAAATGTGCCCTTCCCAATTTAAATTATCACTTCATCAGATGTCTCAGTGGAAAGGACAAGAACTGTTAGAAGGGATAGAGGAGGTTCTTAGCCCCAGCCATTCCCTGCCCAATCAGCCTTTGGAACAGTGACCTACAGATGAAAAGCCGTGACACACGCAGTGAGCCTGGCCTGCAATCAGACTGCAGAAAATGGGAATTAACATGCTCAGGTGGCAGCATCCAGCCATTCAAACCTGTGTAACTCGTGGTTTAGCCCAGAATTAACCACACTGCTAGAAATAATTTCAAAAGCTGGAGAAGAAGTTGTAACTCACCCTCGTTGAAACTGTCAGGGACATTGGCCACCAGAAGGCAAAGGAACCAGGCTCCATTCTTAACGTGCAGCAGAGCTTCGGCCACATCCACTATTGGCAACAGTGATGGCAGCTCTGGATGGATAGAGGGTGTCAAAAGTCACAATGTTTCACCAGGAAACAAACACCTTGTTTCCAAGAGATGCACAGCTTAGATTAATTCACATCTGTCACAACAGCTCCCAAAGTTGTTTTGTTACATTTGTGAGAGGTCAGAAAACACCATAAATACAGAAACATCACACCTGCTTGCAAAATGCAGAGAACATCTGCTGCCTCCTCCAGGTAAACAGGACTCTCGAAGAGCTCAGAAGATTTGAGGAAAAACTCACCATTTGATTCTGACACCTGCAAGAATCATCAGTGAACAGGTTTTATGAAGCAATTTGTCTAAATCTGCTTTAAATCCAGCACATTTAATAGATTAAAAACTGCCAAAGTCATAAAGCTATCAACACAGAACAAGCAGGAAAAGTTTGCAGAACAAGAAATATTTACTACTGGAAATACTTCAACACAGATGGTATCATTGCTTCTTTTTCAGAAAAAAGAAAAATAACCCACTGACGTGCTAAGTTTACACAAGGAAAATAAAATGTTTGGTGAGCAAGGAAGTGGGGGAAGAGAAATGTGATGGCTAAACCCACACTGCAATAGGAGCAAAGAATGGGATGGAGAAAAGTCATCATTTCCAAATTACTTCTGCACTGATAGACCACCAAATCACATTATGTTTGACTACAGCATATTATAGAGTCTCTATAACATCAGCAAAGACTTCCTTTACAAAGTCACAAAGAGTTTAAGCATAAGCCTCTGTTCAATCAGACTGAGACTTTGAAAGTTGATAAAGCAGGTAAGGACTGGAGAAGAGTGCTCACACCACCAGCACCACCAGAAACAGAACCAGTGCATCAGCCAGTCCAGAGGGCAACCTAAAACTCACAAATATCCACCTATGGGGAAGTTCACCTTGTTCATAATGGCCAGTAACTCGCTCAGCACCAGCCGGAGCCGCCGAGGAGAGTCACTGTGCTCGAACTCCAGCGTCAGCCCGTGCTGCAGCTGTGACACCAGGATGCTTTCTCCACTGCCACCTCCCAGCTTGTGCCTGGCACACAATTCAAAACAAGTATTAAACGTTTCTGCAAACACCGAAATGCTTCCGGTTAAAGGAAGGCAGCAGCTCTCTAGGGATCTCTTCTATCCCGTCAAAGACCTGTAAAGACTTTAATTGCAGTACAAGAAAACATTATCAAAATTTCAAATGTTTCTATTCCCCATAAGCACAGTCAGGAAAGCGCATCCACCTGAGCTGTCCCTTCATCCCACAGAGCCATCCCAGCCCCTCCCTGCGGAGCAGCTCCCCCAGTACATCCCACACCCTCCGATGAGCACGGCGGGGGAACAGATCCCCAGGACACACAGCTAAACCTCAGGGCTTTCCTGGGAGATTATCAAGGGACAAGAATAGCCGGGTCCGTCCGGCGCTTAAACAGCTGCTACAAAAGGAACAGCTGGAAAAGCCACACAGCGCTTCCGCCACACATCTGCGTTCTCCGCATTACCGGAGCTGCTGCTCCTTGCTGGCGTCCTGCTCTAGCGCGTGGAAGTCCACGGACAGCAGCGCCACGATGGAGTTGACCGCCTCGACCCCCGAGAGCAGCCGCAGGATCAGCTTCTTGTCCTGCGCCCAGCTCTGGCTCTGGTCGGCGGGCGCGCACAGCGCCATGCGCACGAGGCAGGGCAGCAGCAGCCGCAGCTCGGGGTCGCTCAGCGCGGCCAGGCGCACCACGTCCACCTTCTGCATCGCCTCGAAGGCGTAGGGGCTGACGAACTGCAGCGCCGAGCACTCGGACATGGCGGCGGCAGCGCGTCCCTCA